CCTTCAGTAAATATCTGTGTGCTGCGTCTTCACTAAAACCTCCGTCTGTTAACACAGAGGCATGTTCTGTACTATCCTGCCCGCCTTCAACAGAATCCTTAATCCTTGCTCACAACTGTGATGGGGCCATCAGCAAGAGGTGAGTCTTACCATAAGTACATCAAGGTTACACGCAGTGTGTAGTGAAAATGGTTAAATTTTTTATCAAAAGGTGAATGATTACCCAATTAAACACTTGGAGAATCCAGCAGACTCGGTCACCCTAAATGCCACATGCCTGGGGGACGCCCAGTGGAGGCCAAGCTCTAACGGTTGGGGGTGCCCTTGAGACTTCTTGCAGCCCTCCCTGCGCAGGCGCGGTGCCCCTGTAAGATGATTGGTTCCCAGCCACGTGCACCTCTCAGGAGACCTGGGCTGAGGCTCCAGGATGCAATTTCTGCGCGGCCTCCCCCAGTTGCCTAAAAAATGGGATTAATTATAAACCAACCCATGCGTCTGCTGTGAGGATCCAGTGGAGCCTCGTGGAGAGCCTTTGGGGGAGGACACGCTCGGAGATAGTCACGGTGACCGTCATGTTTGCTGCGGCTGCTGCTCCCGCAGACCCCGGAGGCCCCTGACCCAGTCGTCCCTGAGCTGCGCCTTGCTGTGCGGAACTAGAGAAGCCGCACCCCCCCCTTTCTGGAAGAGTGACTTGCCCATTGAACACTTTGTTGAAGTAGCGTGCTGCCGCCTCACCCGACCAGCAGAGCATTTCACAGAGGGTCAAGGTTAAACATTAAAGTCTAACCCTCTCGGTGAGGAGCGAGGTGGGCGGTAGGAGGAGCGTTCCTTAACTCGGAGTCATAAAAGGAAATGCGCTTCTACCTAAATTTTTCTTTCTGACGAAACAATGAAAGGTTTTGGAAAGCGGACCTGAAGGCCGGCGCAAACACGGGTGCCTTGTGGCCGTAGTAGGAGGCTGTCGGACATTCTGCCGGCATAATTCATTTTCAGTCACTGGGCTGGGTGAGAACACGCTGCGGGAAGAGCATGGGGAACAGGAACAGAATGTGGGCGTTCTTGGGGCTTCCCGCTCCGGGCATGCAATGTGTCAGGCTTCCTACATATCTCAGTTCCTCCTTGAGCACAGCTGTAGGAGTCAGTGACCCTGGTCATCATGAGTAAACGGAACCTCTATTTTTAGGAGCACAAAGTCCCTTGGCTGCAGGATGTGCTGGCTTCTCAGGGCGTGTCCTGTCCCCCCACACCCCACCCTCCCCAGCTGGGGCTAGCACCCAGCCCCGCGGAAGGTTAGCGCCCTGTGCTGGAGCCAGCCAGCCACTCCTTTTGGTTCTGAGCCAATCAGATCCACCGTGGGACTCACACACGCAGAGAAAGGTGCTGGGCACACCCAGGAGGCCCGTTTCTGTGGGAACCACGCTGCTTTCCCACTGTTGTCCCTGTGGGCACCCCCCAACACCCGCCAGCCTGCACGCCTGGGCCGCCAGCCTGATGCGAACAATGCTCGTGGAACTGAGTCAAATACAGGCAAAAAGAAGAGGTGTCCGGCGCCTGCTTTGACCTCTGCTTTGCCACCTGCCGGCCTCGGATGCTTGGTCAAGTTTCTTAACTTCCCTGGGTCTACGTTGTCTGTTGCTTGCTCATCGACAGAGTAGGAGAGTCGTGGGCCCGCAGTAGCTCAGGGAGGCAGCATGAGCTCCCCTTCACACGTGATCACGTCGCTTACGTACTGAAGGGTCCGTGAGGGAGGAGGACGGCCGCCAGCTCTCAGGGCCCGGGAGCCCTTTGCAGACCTTGTCAGGTTCCTTCCCTCAGCCCGAGGGCCAACCCTGCTTTTGTCAGCCCCTCTCACGGGTGATTAGGATGACGCTCTCGGAGGTTAACTACCTTCCCCACCACCGGCACCCTGCCTCCAGCATTCCCTCTCCGTCCTACTCCGGAGGTCATTTCTATTACTTATGTTTTATTTTTTTGTCATGAGAAAACAAACTGAAGTTCAGAAGGAGCCACGACGGGGCTGGCCCCGGAGGACAGGGCTGCGATGGAGGGATCCGCCTTCCCCACCCCCGGCCAAAGGATTTATCTGCCCGCTGCTCCCCCGGCAGGGTGGGGGGTGCTGGGTGCCAGGGTCAGGAGGGCACAGTGTGGGGCTCAGGGACCAAGGTCTCTCCGTGCTGCAAATTCAGAATCAGAAAGTCTCCTGCCTCTGAACCGTCCGTCCCCACACGCGACGTGCCCATGTCCTTATTCAGGCTGTTTTCAGAAAGACGTCGGACCAGGCAGCTAAGAACCCGGCTCCCAGTCTGCACTCGGTGGCGGGTTTCACTGAAGGAGGACGATGGTCACTGGGCGCATGAGGTACAGGCAGGGGGACCCGCTCCGGAGTGTTGCTTGGTGCTTGCCTGCCCTTTGCAGCATCTGCAGGCTCCCAGGACTTCCAAGAGCACGAGCAGCCTCCGGGGAAAGAAGGCCACTGATAGGTCTACCTTGATGGCCCTGGGTCACTCACAGGAGTACCACAACTGTAAGGCCGTGTGGTGCCGGCTGCTGGATCGCCATGGAGACCCTGAAAAACGTCACATCTGAGGAGACAACGCTTCCTGCCCTGCTTCATCCACAGGATATTTTGAGATGATCAAATAAAATTACCATAGTGGCAGCAGAACTTACCTGGAGGGTATCCCTGTTTCCCATTGGGCTTTGCAAACATCAGCTCATGGGGGTGGGGCATTAACCACATGGACATTAGTGTAGAGAATGAATTTCTCTAGAATTATCATCATAGACCCTGTGTTCTTGCAAAATCTTAGAGCACAATATTCTATAAGGTTTATTTATTTTGCAAATGTGGATGAACCTTGTCATCCAGCTCATCGTAATAGGGCCACACAGGTTGATTAGTGGGTCATATCATGACTGCTGGAACATTCTAATTCCACAGAATCGTTCAGACTTTGAAAATGGTGTTTTACGTGGTTCCACTACAGCAAATGTAATGTACTTCTATGAAGTCACGTCTGCATCTCTGAGTAGTCTGCAAACTTTGTTCTTCCTTAACAGAATTTCTAAGGAACGCACACACACAGTTTCATTACCTTCTACCTTCAGACACAGTAAGAGAGAGTTAGGCTCGTCATCTCCAGAACTGTGAAACGTACTTCCCTGTAGCTGTTCTGAGTGGTTCCCTAAAGGTCATCTGTGGTATAAGGATTGAGACAGTTTGTGCCCTAAAGAAACCGAGGGCCGCTCAGACTCTGAGACGAGTAAACGTGTTTTCTGTATTTTGTAGTGTCCTTTGCACTAACATGGGATGTGAGCCCTGGCCTACTCAGCGATCATTTGCACTGATTGTCACCCATACCCATTTCCTCTTCCATTACTTTTCCACACTATCAAAATCTGATCCAAAATGCAAACTTCGAAGAACATAAATGTTTTTAGCTTCAAAGAATTTAGAACTATTTTCACTGTTGAGAATCATAATTTTAATAGGTTCCAAGTTTCACAACAAGTTAATTTATTAGGGTGACCTTGACTTTGGGGTGGGCGGTTATAGAGGACTGACCTTTCAGAGGATGAGCACAGTCTGGTGACTAAGTCCCTGTTTGATGTGGAATTTAACAGCTGCTCTTGGAATGCCTGTCTTGACTTCTCCACAGTAAGCCCAGCCACATTAGCACACGGCTAATCACATCATATGCATTCAGTGGGCGTTTCTTGAATGAAGAATATTAATTCTAAGAGAGATTGCTAAAAAATAGTAGATAAGAAGTTGTGAATCCCAAATAGCTTCATAAAGGAGATCTTTCTGTCCAAAGAGCAGCTGCTTTGTAAGTTACACTAAGAGTGTAAATTACCCTAAATTTCCGCTCAGTTTGACTTTGGTTCAATCAAGACATGACAGGTCATGATTTCAGAATCCTGTCAGTGTTCAACCGGGCTGACTTGGGGGAGAGTTAATCACAAAAGATCCTCAAAGGGACTATCTAGAAGTATATCCTACCAGCAGAGTAGGTCTAATCCATTCCAGAGGTCTTCAAAATTTTCCTGGTGGCCCACTGAGTTCTTTTGAGTCTGCAAACCACTCTGACCCACCCGTTCTTAGAGGGCAGTCCAGAATCTGTGTTCTCCATCTGCCCAGGCTTCACTGCAAACCCAGTGCTCTAGACTTCTGGCCGGACTGGAATTCGCTGATGGCTGATCTACTCCGGCCAACTCTACCATGTCCACAGCAGAGGCTTATTTCCTAGAACTGATTGCAAGGTTATATTTCCCTTTTGACTATCTCACCATAATGCTTTTAAACCAAAAATACATTTAGCCTCCCTAGTGTGAAGGCTATAGGCTTATAATTTTTATCTTAAATCTTCTCACTTCCTCCTCTCTTCCATACCAAAATCTGCTCCTTGGAACCTCAAAAATGGGTTTGAAGGTCATATGTCAGCACTTCTACCCACCAGTGGGTTTGAATTATGTCAGGAACCAGGGGTCCAGAGGACCACGGTGTTTATTCCAGATTTTTGCCCACCTTTTGCCTCCAACACCTGGTCCTGGATAGACGAGTTCTGAGTCTCCCTGTACCTGAAGTCTTCATTCACACAGTGGAATAAAAGTACCTAGTCCCTGCTGAGGAGAAAGAGGTGCTGGGTGCTCACATGCTTTGAGCTACTTAAAGGGAAGGTGTGGGCCGCCAACCTTTATTGTCTTAGAGAGTGGGACCAGGTTGGGGGGTTCCATAGCCTTGGGGTCATTCTACTGCACTGAACGCTGCGTGGACTGGAGAGATTTCCCCTTCATCTTCCCCACCCCAGTGGGAAGGACCCTTTGCAGGGTGACATCATTTATGGGACGTCATGAGATATAAAACGATCACAAAGCGGCTGTCAACCAGGGCCGCACTTAACCTTGCTGACTGTCCAGACAGACTAGCGAGCCGGTCACCGCTCCGGAGCTGACGTACTGTGGAATACACCTAATGACTAAATAACATAATGTCAAACTCAGAATAAAATTCCATCTCTTGGAGCACATTCCATGGGCTTTCTCTGCTCCTGCTTTCGCTGGTATCTGGCCTTCTGGTAGAAAATGACGATGACCGTGGAGACAGTACTTAGAAGAAGGACGAGCAGCGTGAGCCAGAACGAGTACCCGTAGCTGTGGGTCGTTCCCCCGTAGGCGGCCGCGGGGTACAACGGGTACAGCGTCTGGGCCAGGTCTTCCGAGAGATGGTTGGATTGCGTGTTCCCCACGAACAGTATCATGGCCACGAAAACGAAGAAAGCTGGAAAGAAGATTCGGTCTCGTAAATTATATGGTGATATCTTTTTTAATGTCACTTTCTTTCTTAAAGGAACCTGTGCTCTGTGGGCACGCATGGAATCTCTTCACGGGGGTTACGGTCGTCTAGGTATTGGAATGCAAAGCAAGTGTAAGACCGGAGCTAGATTCTAGGCACAAACCGCTAAAGGCTGAGGGCAGCGTCCAGCCAAGAGCAAACATATGGCTCAAGTCCTTATAGCAGGGGATGTGTGAAATGAACTTGAGAATGAGAAGATAGGAGAATCAAGCTTTCTAGAGAGGACTGGATAGATGACAAGGACCTGAAGGACAGAGCACTGCAAACAGAAGAGGCAGCCCATGCAAAGATGCCTGGGGTGGGGTGGGCTGTGAGCTCAGAGCCCCTGGGACCCCAGGACAAGACCTGGCCCCTGAGAAGCCTCTCTGAGGGTCCTGAGCACTGACTACGGAGGAGGAGACCACCCTGGAGAGCCTCAGACACTGGCTCAGAGCCTGGACTTTCATTCTGCTCACAGTGGAGTGTGGCGTTTAACCAGGAAGGGTATCTTCGCTAAACTTGTGTGAGAAGAGAACTTGTTAATTGTCTAATTGTCTTCTCTTCCCTTTTTTTTTTATTCTTCACAATGTCCTCCCCTGGAGAGTGTGTCTTGGTAGTGACTTTGGGCAGTCACCTTGACCCAGCTGGAGAACACAGTTCTGGAGTCAGAGAGAGCCGGGTTCCGCGGATCCAGCCACATGGCCCCCGGGGCTTCTCTGGACCGTATCCTTCCTGACCAAGGCAATGGGCAGATTCGGGGTTGGTTGGAATGGGGCTGGGCTAGCAGTGGAGAGGCGGCGGTGGTCAGAGGGCACGGGGTGTTCTCTGAGCTGATGGCATGTTCCAAGACTGATGGAGGGGACGGTTGCCCATCTCTGAGAATATTTACCAACAACTGGAGAGATATGTTGGGGTCAACGTGTGGCCATCGCCCACACCCGGAGACTTTTCCCAATCCTCCAAAGGCCCTGCCATGAGGGCTTTTGTGTGAGGAGAACACTCAAACTGTCCTTGATGACAGATTTTCATGTTCAGGGTGATGGTTTTACTTCTCAATAATTTGGACGTACAAGAGCCTCTTCCTCTGATGCTCTATGCATCTCACACTCCTTAATTATCCTTCATTATGCTCTTGTGAAATTTCTCATAAATGGTTAGTCACAAGGGCCAGGGTGAACACAGGGTTACACACTTTTCTCTGCAGTGGGACGGGCTTGACTTTGATCTGAGTCGGGAGGGGCCGCCGCTGATACTTGACCTGAGCCCCTGCGGGAAGCAGCTGCCTCTCCCTGTGGCTTCCTTGGCTCTCTGGGACGGGGGATTTACAGAGGGATAAAGGGGGCTCCTTGGTAGCAGGGGGAGCTCCTGAAGCCTCAGGACGCTGTCGCCAGGCCTGGCCTGTCCGCATGAGGCCATGCGACCTGCCCCATCACCTTCTGCTCTCGGGTTCCTGGGCTGAGGCTCAAACAATCAGCAAAGTCCTGTCAGGCCCCAACATTCTCTCAGTCTACAGTTACATCCCCTGTGGTCAGGGTCGGGCCACTCCAGGCTGCTGTGGGGCGAAGGGCAGGCCGGGGTCAGAGGGCACAGGAGTCTGGGAGGCTGTGATGTTGTGTGTTCCTCCAAGCAGAATCTGCTCCTGTTCCTTCCAAACCACACCAGGAAGCTCACATCCTCTTCCCCGGAGCCAAGGGGAATTTGTTCAAATGTAGCCTCTAGAAGGATTCACAGCACTTCCCTCTGGTCCAAGAGCCCCTGCAGCCAGCCTGACCAGGGGGACCAAGTCCACAGCCAAGATGACCCAAAGCAAGGTTGTCAATGACATTGTTGTGTGTAAAAGCCTTCTGCAGGCCGAGCCTCACCTAAACAGAGTTTCCACTAGGTTCTGCACACTCAAAGCTCATGTGAAGAAAATTGGGAGTCCCCAGAGGCAAACTCAGGGCCAAAGTCTGGCTTCTCAGAGCCCTGGGATCAAGAGGCCAGGCCAGGGGTGTCCAGAGGAGGCTGGAGGAGAAGCCAGTGCCACAAAGATCTCCGTGACCCCTGCCAGAACACAGCCCTCCTCCTTACCCTCCATATCTCAGGTTGTTTCTCTGCCCACCTGACAACCCCTTCTGTGTGCTGGAACTTGTCCAAGCCGGAAAGGAATGCCACATGAGCTCTCTCACTGTCAGAGGATTCTTTGTTGTTAGAAGTAGGTAGGGGCGCCTCTGTGGGTTAAGCCTCTGCCTTCGACTCAGATCATGATCCCAGGGTCCTGGGATGGAGCCCCATGTCGGGCTCTCTGCTCAACGGGGGGGCCTGCTTCCCTCTCTCTCTGCCTGCCTCTCTGCCTACTTGTGATCTCTGTCTGTCAAATAAATAAATAAAATCTTAAAAAAAAATAAAAAAGAAGAAGTTGGCGGGGACAGAGGGGAAGGCCGCCGGCCCCGTGTTTCTCACGTTTTCCTCTACAGACGCTCACTGGCCTCTGCCACGTGCAAAGTCAGCTTATCCTCCACTGTGGACACAAAGAGCTGGAAACTCCAGGCTTGCAGAAACAGGGTTTATGAGGCAATGGGCTTTGAGCCCCGCAGGCTGTAGTGGGGCGAGGTCATCCCGTCTTATCCCTGCGGGCCCACGTCCAAACGTCCTTTGGTGTTGGAACCTGATTTCCCTCTTGGGGCTGCCCCAGCTCCATGGGGTCAGGGGTCCCAGCCATTGGGTGGGTCTGCCAGGGAGTTCAGCGCCACTGTCGGCCATGGAGATTGTTCCAGGGGCAGGGGGAGGAGGACAATTCCAGGGCAAGTCAGATTTGGGGGAAAAGGAAAAAAAACCCTTTTTCCTGGGGTTGTTGGCAGCCATCCTGCCTCTGCGGGGACCAGCCCTCTGCTTAGCCCCAGAGAGACCACTGGGAAAATCAAGAGACAAGCACCAAAGGGAATCAGACTGCTGATTGTGTGGGCCAAGACCCAGCCGTACCCGAAGCTGCCACTTTCTTTAGCTGCTTAATTATATGAGCAAAAATTAAAATAATCCGTTTTTAACCCTGGAAGAGTGCCAAGGAGTCTTGCCTTTGGTTTGACTGAGGTGAGCTATAATCCTAGAAATAGCTTGGGGAGAGGAAGCCTGGCCTTCGGGAGAGGATGTCTGAGTTTGTAACCAAGTCCCTCAGCCTGACCCCTGGTGCGTCTGGGAGGTCAGAGCGCTCCACAGCTCTGTTGTGACTGGCCCACCACAGGTGCCCAGTGCACTGGGGCTAGGGGCAGGTTGTTTGTTTTTACCACCAGGTAATAAAACCACAGGAAGAAAGGAAAGTGCAAGTCATGTGTGGATGTGGCTAACCCAGCCCGACCCCAGATCCTCAGAGCCTAGGAGCCTGCCTGCAATGTGGCCAGACCTGTGGTCCCAGGTCCCACCGCTCGCCTGGATGAATGATTATGAATTGCATCCCGAAACGTATCCCCCTTTGTGGAGTGAGTTGCACAGACTTCCCTCGATCCCGGCCACCCGGGGCTGGCTCTCAACTCTTCTCCACTGTTAGCTTCCAGAAGGCCAAGTGCTACCGGCTGGGCGCCCCTCCCCCAAGAGCCGGATGTTCCTCTTCTCCAGGGCCACACTGCGGACGGCCGCAGCACAAAGACCGGGGATCCCTTCCCACCACCTGCCCTGGGCTTGTGCAAGGACGGTCTCTCACGGAAGGACAAGCTGTCCAGAGTCCTGGAGGCTTCCTGACACCTTAATGTCCAGACCACCTTTCCTGTGCTTGAAAGTTCCTGGCCTCTGTTAAAATGCTCTCCCTGGCCCGGACACGAAGCCGCCTCCAGAGGCATTCCGTAGGTGGGACAGGCTTCTTCACGTCCTTTCTCAAGATCAGGTTTTCATGGTGGAGAGCAGGAGAGAGCAGAAAACCTCTAGCCGCCTGGCGAGGGCAGAGGCCCCCCCACTCGGCCACACCTCTGGGCACGCACAGTCGCTGCTGAGCCTCGTGACACCCCAGGGAGAGCCACACATACTGTGACCGAAGCTGGGATCTGCTTCCCACCTGCCCTGCACCCCCACCCCAACCGTGACCAGTGCATGAATAGAGTAAGCTAGCCACACCCCAGAGAGTCCTCCGGAGCTCACAGGTCACCCACAAGAAGGGAGTTGCCCCGGTTTCTCTAAATGACCTTCTTTGTGACCCTCTGAGGGACAGTCACAGAGATGTGTCATGTTTGGATTTTGACCCACACTGACTGTTATTTGGAGGTGAGGAGAGTAATTATGTGTGCATGTATGCCTGTGTGTGCGTGTGTGTGCATATGTGTATGTGGGCGCCCATGTGTGTGTGCCTGTGTGCATATGTGTGCATATGTGGATGCATGCGTGTGGGTGGGTGCACATGTATGTGCATATGTGTGTGTGTACGCACGTGTGCGTGTGTGTGTGTGTACTTCCACATGCTCTGTGCACCCTGATCTGGCGTTAAGAACACAGCAGGAGTTGCCAACAGTGAGTGTCTCGTGGAGTTAGGGACATTGCGTTTGACTCCTTACAGTTCCATACTCAACAGCAGGAGCTGGTGTAATTATGTATTTTAACACCTAACACCCAGCCCGCACGTCACTGCCCGCCTCTCCTCCAGGGCAGTTAAAACCATTTTATCTCCAAGATGCTTCATAAATGCTGTTGGTTTGCAGACATAAATCCCGGGCCCTGGCGCACAACTTGGCAAGTACCAGGTCTGCGTAATCTCCATGGCTCCCCCGGGATCGTGTGCGTTCCTATGTGGGACCAAGCAGCAGAGGGACAGAGACCCAGAGGCCGTGCCCTTCAGCAGTGGTGTCCCCGGGGATACTCACCACCAAGTCCACTCCCGGTGTACACGCCCACGGGCCCCAAGAACGTCTGATAGGGGTTGCTGATGCTGTTGTAGAAGGTGAGCCCAGAGCTGAAGAGCAACGTGCACAGGCTGAGGACCAGGACCAGGATAACCACCAAATGCAGCGTTCTTTGGGAAGAACTGTTCAATTTCTCTAGAACTAAAGCAGTGTGTGGTAAGCATGTAACACAAAAAGCAGACACCAGTCCTAGACCCGAGGGCTATACCATGCCACCCTGGCAGTCCCTTGCACTCTCTCTGCCTGGACACTGGGGGTAGGAATTGCAGGAGACACCTCGCAGGTGTGCGGGGGAACAGGAAGAGGCGGGAACTCGGGATACTCATTCCTCCTTGAATGTGTGTAACCACAGGTAACTGACCCTCCACCCCAATTTTAATTTCCCCAAGAAAAGAGGGAACCCTTCTTGATAAGCTGTGGCAGGGCTGGGCACCCCTCCTCTGTGCATTCTGGCCTCAGAGGTCTGCCAGCGGGCATCACCACTTTTCCCCATGGGTGGTGTTCCTTTGCTCGGAGCACTGCTGTGCTTCTACTCCGGGACACTTACTGAAAACCTGCGATCGAGAGGATCTGGTACCCCCGGAGATTTTGGAGGTGAGCCCATTACACAGAAGGCAAGGAGGGGAGGGAGACAAAGACAGCCTTGGGGACAGGCAGATGACCGCCGTATGTGCCCCTGAGGTGTCGGCCACACTTCCCTCGTCACTTCCCTGGAATCAGAGGACCTAGTGCCCGTGTGGCTCAAATGCAGAAGGTGACCCGTGGGTAAACGACCAGAATTCTTCCCAAGCTCAATTCCTCTGAGCTCAAACAGCATTTTATAAAATGTGCCTATTTCTTAAGTGCAAAGGAGCCCCAGGCATGGATACGCACTTGTGCCAAACAGAACACAGATGCCCTGGGCTGGTAGCCGTGAGTTCCAGCTTTTGCCGTCCTCCTGTTTCTAACCACAACCCACCACCGTCCCTACGCATCAGCTTCCTCTGCTCGCTCCTGTGTTTATGACACAAGATGACCACACGGCAAAGGCACGCTGTCCCCACACTTACCTGTAACCCCAGCCACACACTTATAAAACATCCCCAAAGGCCGCAGTATGTTTTAGGGCAGTAGGCCATTGCCACCACATTAAGTAAACTGTTTACCGCAACAATATACAGCAAAAGTAATCAGGGGAAAAGACTTCAGACTTCACGGTAAGGGCAACGAAGTCATGGGGAGCTGTGAGACTAAGAACCGCGATGGGCGGGGGAGGACGGTAGGAGAAAGTAAAAGGCTTCTTCTTTCCATTCCTGTTCCCCAGGCTTCTGGGAGAGAGTGAGGAGCCCCTCCCAGCCTCATCGCAGAGCCGCTTTAAAGAACAGAAACCAGAAAGGCCAGGAAAGATGGCTTGTTCCAGGGCTTGGGGCTCCTTATCTCTCTCTCTCTGAACCCGAGTGCTCCAAAAAATGGGGTCCCTGTGAACTGGAGGGGCCCCCGGGACGTGGTGCGCACCAGGGGAGGAACTGCCAAGCTTGTGCCTGACGCGTGTCAGGGGCCCTCTCTTTGCGAGGGTGGCCCTTTTCATGCCGTGCTGCCTTCGTCATTTAACAGCTCTTCGCTGAGTCACTGAGCTCGACTCCAGAAACCAGCATTGCCCTGTATGTTAGCTAACTAAAACTTAAATAGAATAAATAAATAAATAAATAAAATAAAAAACAGCTCTGCCCACACAAATAAATAAATTAAAAAAAAATGCAAGCTCTTCACTGTGCCGGACCCAAACGTGCGTGTCTCCGATCTGCCCGGCGTCCTGCTGCTCCGTTGGGAGGAGTTCAGTGTCCCCTCGCTCCGCTCTGCTGCAGCCTCTCTTGTCACTGAAGGGAGGCCTGAACCCCAGCGCGATTAACAGCCCGCATCTCCAGAATGCGCTTTGCGAGGCAGGATTCCAAAGCTCCTGCCCACCTGTCCCTGGCTCTGTACACACTTGACTCTGACTCCCAGCCCCAAAACACACGGGCCGGAGCGGCACAGCTCCCCCGGCTCGGAGCGGATGCGACCTGCACCGGGTCTCTCCCCTCTCCAGTCCTGAGCATCTAGATTGTCCATCTGATTTTTATTTTTAATCGGCAGTACTCTAGAAGGGGGACAGATTTCCTGCCATCGGAGAGTGGACAGCGGGAGGCTACAGAAAGGGAACTGGTGGGAAGAGGAGAGGGCACCGAGACCTGCAGCCACCCCCTGGGAACTGCCTGGGAGAACACAGAGGCCAGAAGAGGGGAGTGACCAGCCCAGCAATGTGGGCCCAATGACGTCACCTCCCTTGGCCCGAGAACATTTTGCTCCTCCATGAGAGGCAGTCCTGGGAGCAAAGTTCAGCTCACAGGGACCCAGCGGTGACTGGACTGTTCACAACGTCTGCTAATGACTCACAGGCTGGCTGGGCCAAGTCCTCAGCACAGCCCTGTGGGATGCATCCCAAGGAAGGACTCTGAGCACAGAGTTCAACTAAAACTGTGCCCCTGCCTGCCACTACCTATGGCCTGAGCAAGGAAGGCTGGGGTCCGATGGGCCACCTGCCCTCTGGGAACCGCGTGGGCTGGGCTGTTTGGAAGGCCCTGAGCTCAGGCTAAGACTCTCGCTCTTCGGCTGACCGTGGGGATGCCAGGCCGGGGCAGTTCTCTAACGGAGCACACGGAGCACACGTCTGTCTTGACACGAGCAGATCATGACCGCAGAGGAGCAGGGAAAAGCCGGAAGCAGGACGCACCTGTCTGACGGTTTCCAACCCTCACTGTGAGGAAGGACCGCTTCCCATGCCACCCATCCTGTTCCTTCCAGGCCACCCAGGGGGAAAGCTGAAGCTCTAATCAGAAATTTGCTGGGGACCAAATAAACTCTGGGTTTAGCCAATAAGAAATAATTTGGATACTTAACTAGAAAATAGACATTTTGGTGTGGGGAGAATGTCATCTCCGGCGTGCCCTGGAGAATATTTCTGCTCTGCACACTTACTAAAAGCTGTAAATGGATGTTTGTTTGCAAATGGTGAACATTCCACTTTTTCAGAGTAGACCAGAAAGTGACAATTAGGTTAGGCTTTGTTTTTGACTGTTGGTAAGACCTAACAGACACGATTTTTCAAAAGGGTGCCCATTTGGAGCCTACTGACTCGTACTTTTCTTTGTATTAATGCAACAATTTATCTTAATTTTAACAGCCATCTTTTAAAATTTTTTTTCAGCATCTGAATTTCCTGCCACACAGGCATGACAGCTGTACCTCTCAGCCCCCTCCCAGCTCAGAACTCAGACAATGAAAGCTGGAAATTCAGGGCAAGTTAGCAAGAATGAAACAGAATAAAGCCGCCCTAGCGTCTGACAGCTGCTCTCTGCCTACAAAATTAGCAAATACATTCCGTTCTTTCCCCGTCCTTTTCAGGGCCAAGCGTTGGAATCAGGAAAACCACCTCGCAATTGGAACTAATTGCCTGGCTTCTAGCAACCTCTGGAAAGAGACCATGTCTCCCGCAGCTGGGAGGCAGAAGATGTGCTGGGTACGGTGCTTCGAGTATGGAAATGGGTCATCTGGACCTTGGGCTTTCTGTGCCTGGAGATTTAACCCTTCAGGAGCCGCTTGCCACAGGGTCTTCCTAGCTCTGGTTTTCCATCCATCCTCAGACCTTGAGGGAGAGCCAGTGGCTTTGCCGGTGGGTGGGAACTGCCTTCCCTTTCTCAAGCATCTGGTCATCAGGGAGCCTGACCTGGTGGAACCCTCCACCCATGGACCGCAGTACACCCCTGAGAAGCTGAACGTTTGAGGTCTTCCAAGAAGACCCAGGTGGCATGCCCAGCCTCTGGGAAATTTATCTGGGTTCTGTCACAGAGAAGGAGGGGGAAAGGGGGAGCCCAATTTCCGCCCTGTTAAACTCCATCACCCAGCGTGGTCATGTCTCTGGGGACAGATAATAAGGTGCTCCTCCTCGAAAAAGTATAACGCGTATGGAGGGGTGAGGTTGGTGAGTAGGAATACTAAGGAAGAAATAAGCCTCTTTTGTTTGTCTCCTTGCAATTAATTGATTTTTGCAACAGATTTACTATTCTAATTATTATTATTATTATTATTATTATTATTTTGTCTTGGGCCAATAGTGCAATTTTGAGTCCCCTGAGAACAAACAGGGTAGGGGGGAAAAAGAGACTGGTGGGTGGGGTGGGCAGGCAGACTGGGCGAAACCCCTCCTTGCTGTCATAGCGACCTCCATTGTCTGATTTAACTGAGGGGGGGGGCCTTTCTCTAGATTATGGTGATTCACATAATGTAATAAAAAATTTTTTTTTTTTTTAAAAAGGAAGCTATGGTGAGTTCACCAAGCCCAGGAGTCATGGGCAGTTCCTCGCCGCAGTGTGCCAGCCCCTCCTTCATGGAGCAGCTGCTCCGGGGAAATGTTTTGGACCAAAATTCACTATCCAGAACTTTTGGAGTAGCAAAATCAAAGTGTTTACTGGTGGACAAAGGGGCTGTAACTTTTTATCTGGATATCAGACAAACCAAGAGGCCACCAGATGAAGCTAGTAGGTCTCCTGGTCAGGCTGAGCTGGCCACATAATCTGGTCACATATGGGAGAGTTTCCTTGCCAGGCCTGACGGATTATCTTCCCCACCGGTGGACCTATTGGCGTCTGGATTCTCTTGGCGTGTTGAAATCAGCCTCGGTCACTTGGTACTGTGCTGTCCTCTCAAAATCTACAGCCAAAATTGGCACAACGTCCTAAGTCCTATTCAGAAATAGAGGAGAACTTTGCAATATTCACACCTCTTTGGAGATTTTCATTGTGACCTCATCCTGGGCAAGAAGCTGGTATGTTAACGTCTTAAATGGAAACCTTAATGCATCATTGCTGGGGAAGGAAATGGCATTTATACAGATTTTATTTTGCTGCCAACAATCAGTTTCTGACCGGAGATGAGCCCCATGCAGCCCCGAGAAACCAGCAGAGCAGCAGCTGGACCTCAGCCTCTGGTTCTGCTCTCCAGGGAGAACATCCACGGGTCTGCAGCAGCTGAACCCAGGGTACACCTGGCTCTAGTTCTGACTTTCCCCTATCCTAGAGAACAGTTAATAAATATCCCTCATCCAGTGATGGCTAAAACCCTCAGCAGTGAACATCCCCTCGGCTCTGTGGAGCCCTGAGCAGACATCAGCCAAAGCAAGTTGGGGTGCACCCTTGTCTGATTGGGGGCGCAGCTTATCTTCTGGACGTGGGGCAGTGACTTCAGAGAGCTGACCATGGCTCTGCGGTGACGAAGAATATAGTAGGGAGCCAGGCAAAGCAAATGGAAATAGTGTGCCTCATTCCCGCTGCCGTAGGGCGCCATGGGGCCCCCTTGGCCCTGCGCCCTCAGGGTTGGTCTACGCTACGCCTCTCCCTGCGATCTCCATGCCATCCCACCCCCCCCACCCCCCAGGGCTTGAGAGCCAGGCTCAGACCTTCCCCAGCCTCCCCGAGCTTTGCTGGTAACAGGTCACCAGGGCTGTCCCTGAAGCCACGTAGCTCAGATGGGAACCAAGTGGTTCCAACCAGACAGCATGAAAATCAGAAACTCTCATAGTTAAATTTTTTTTCAGTGTGTCTGGAGGCTCAGGAACTAGTACACATTCTGGTTTTGCAAATGCTCTTCACATACTGAATGTGCGACTGCGTGTTCGAAAGTCTCTGTTCGGGTTGCAGCAAGGGGAGTCCGCCTCGAATTCCCCAGGAGCCGCGGCACGGCCTGGAGGAGGCGGTACCGTTACTGCGCGTGACTGCGCAGCTGGAGGACATGCTGCTTTCGCTGATGTCTAGGAGACAATTTTCATAACTTGGATGTACACCTATGTTGCTCAGGATTTAAGGCTCAAACTCAAACTGAATACGACATCTTATATGTGGTAGGAAATGATGCCCAATTACAAGACAGCAGGAAATGGCTGAGTCATGGCTGATAATTCCTGTCTATCCGTATGCAACGCTGCTCCGTGCAGAGTCCATCCCAGGGGCTAAATAATAGACAAATGTTGCTTTTAGGGGCACCTGGGGGGCTCGGTCAGTTAAGCGTCAGTCTGGCTCAGGTCACGATCCCAGAGTCCTGGGATCGAGCCCCACATCAGGCTTCCTGTTTGGCAGGGAGATCTGGTTCTCCCTCTGCCCCTCACCCAGCTCATGCTGTCTCCCTCTCACTCTCTCTCTCACATAAATAAATAAAATCTTTAAAAAAATAAATAAAAATCTGCAGTCAGTACACCTAAAAATACTGTTCCTACTATCCTCCTATGTTGGATACCATATTCCTGCTAATTATTTTCTTGTCAGTAAACTTGGGAATGCTGCTTCCACAGAGCGTCTGCCAGAATTATTTAGACTGCGGTGCCAACAGACACAACCAGAACCGAGCAAGCTAAAAGAATAATGTGGGTGAAATTTCAAAATTAAAATATATGTTCATATTAATTAAATCAATTAACGTATATGTTCATGTCTGTAAGCCATCTCAGAGCTTATGAGGACATCATTGATTGGAGGAGCTGCTATTTGGCCCAGACAGAGGTTGACATGAGTCTTGCCCCATTAACGCACTCTCACTGTACCCACTCAAATTAAGTTCTCATTTACCTCCAAAGCCCTTCTTTGACTCCTCAAGTCCATGACTGAATTCCTGATGACCGTTCCCACGAAAGAGTCCGTAGACGATAATGAGACTACCGTTTGAAGATGAGTCGCTGACGGCGATTCTGCTGCTGACCCATTCTTGGGTCCCAAGCATAGCGCAGACTACGATGAACGCCCCAAAGCTTGTGAGAAAGCTCGATAAGAACGTCAGGGTCTTCTTTGCTGTAGGCATTCTTCTCAGGAAAGGAGGGGTCCTCTGGTAAACAAAGAAAGCAACGATCTTCTTGTATTATGTTTGGACCTTATCATTTGGAGTCCAGTATTTAGAAATGGAGTCGAACGGAGTGAACGCTTCTTGTAAAATATAAAAGCTTGCTCTTCAGGGGACAAAATACCTCAAGGAACATTGGACTATGAATATGGTCATAAAGATTTACAGTGGCTGAACTTTGGTCTGGAGCTAGGGGTTGCTGTGGTGACAGCCAACCAGCAGAAACAAGGGGCAGGTGCGGTATTCCTAGGGACTTCCTCGATCACACAATTAATTTATAACTCTTTGTCACGTGCTGCGAAGCACACTCAGCCTACCATGTCAGGACTAGAATCCCTAAAACATGAATGAGGTCCTGTCCTCCGACCATCGCAGATATTATGGATTCTAGCGGATTCTAGTGGATTCTAGCAGCCAACAACCTAGACTAGCTTTACCTGTTAAAGACGCGACCCTAACAACAGTTCAGAAAGGAACGCTCAGAAGATCAAGGCTTTGCTGAAAACGCTGTGAAATGAAATGAGTAAACTTGACCTTACTTTTAGACCTTATTAGAGAGGTGCACCTTTCCAATTCCCTCCTCCAAACCAGATTATATTCGCAAATTTTATTTTATTTTATTTTTTTTAAAGATTTTATTTATTCATTTGACAGTGAGAGACCACAAGTAGGCAGAGAGGCAGGCAGGGAGAGAGGAGGAAGCAGGCTCCCAACCGAGCAGAGAGCCCAACGTGGGGCTCGATCCCCGAGCCCCGAGACCATGACCCGAGCCAATATTCGCACATTTTAGATGATAACTTGGGAGGGTACATCTTTATTTGTCCTTAGGGCTCTCATGGACATGGTTCTGAACATTCTTGCTTTAGGTCTTCATGCTGCCTCTCCTTCCTCCCCGTTGAGTGGCTAATGGTTTATAAGTGGTTCTTTCTGTCTCTCAGAGACACTCCTCCATTCGGCAAGCACGTCACTTCTCAAGATAGTAAATAGATGTTCACAACTCTTTTGCACTCTTTTTTAAAATTTCATTCTTTGATTATAAAGTAATAGCGTGTATGCACATTTGTGTCCTGTGGTTTCCTTGAATAACATCTACCTTATGTGGGGTGCAATGAGCCCACCGTCGGACGTCCCCCTCCGAGGAACTGGACTATGGGCTTCAGGAGGTGCGCCATGTTTGTTTTGCTGAACGGTAGACCCCAGGGTCTGTCCAAGAGCAGACACGCAGCGAGTACTTGTTAAATGAATTATTGGAGACATACAGACCAATGTTCCAATGTCATGGACATGTGTGCTGTTTCGATTTTTTAATTCACGATTAAAAAAACATGTACAAATATCCTTCTACATAACCCTTGTCCATATCTCTGGGTATTTCCTGCCTCGGATTTCTGGAAGTGCGTCAACGCATGTGAACCTTCACTGGCGCGGTTGCTACGTCTTGCTCATCAGCTCTTTAGAAAAATTCATACCAATTTGACCGCCCACCTTTATGCGGTTGAATGCCCTCTTTACCCTTTTTTCACAACATTGTATATTATTGGGAAAACTGATTTTTTTTTTCCCAAGCAAGTCTTTATTCTGACTACATTTTTAAGTAGTTATTTCAGTAGTTTCAGGAGTTCTTTCCTTGGAGTCCATTTCCTTTTCTTTTTCTTTCTTTTTTTTTTTTTTTAAGATTTTATTTAGTTATTTGTCAGAGAGAGAGAGAAAGAGCAAGCACAAGCAGGGGCAGTGGCAGGCAGAGGGAGAAGCGGGCTCGCCGCTGAGCAGGGAGCCCGCTGTGGGCTCTGTGTTTGTGCAAATCTAGAGATGCTTGTTCCTGTATGATTATACAGTCAGGAGAGTGACCTGCGTCATCTCCACGTGAGCATCATTCCGTGGTTTGTATTTCACATATCGGTGGGGGTTTTGTTTTTTGGTTTGTTTGTTTGTTTGTTTGTTTGTTTTTACATCTTTATGGATGCTTTGCTGCCTACAGTAACAAAGGTCTATGTATTCAGTCAAATATTTTAGTCTTACACTTGTGAGTCCTGGATTCGGCATCTCAACTCCAAAGCCAGAAGTCTGTCTACACATTCAAACCAGCTCAAGCTTGCTTACAAACATAAAAGCGATGTACTCGTAAGGGTACACGGTTATTTCACAGGTCCCAAGGGGAGGGTGACATGAGGACTCTGGGAATCCCCCAGACTAGTGATTTCCATTTTCTCTGCTCCTTTCTACACATATTCCATTCTTCTGGGTTTATTTTTTTAAAACATTAAAAGTCATTCTTGTCAGTATTGAATTTCTGTCCTCACATTTAATTTGCCTTTCTCTTTCTAAATTTTCTGAGGTAAATGTTTTGTTTCCTTAATTATTTTGCTGTTGGATTAATAATGAAAGTATTTAAAACTGAATTTTCCTCTCAATATAGGATGTTGGCCAAGTCCCACAGGTTTTATGCAGAATCTTTTGTAAACTGATTTGTAGTATTTTTTTTTCTTCCTTATTGAAGCATAAGTTTGTAAAATAATTGAATGATAGGATTGTTTCTATTTTTCATTATTTATTTTTACTTTTCTATAATTTTATATTTTACTTTTCTATAATTTTGGTGAGAGGTTGTAGTTCTCATGATATTTACTCTCCGATTTTATTGATATTTTCTGTGCAGGCCCATTTAGAAGCCACTTTTATAAAGGCTTGTAGCATTTCATGTCACTTGATGCTAACCCATTTTATGGATTTACCCTCGTTCATTTAACAATGTCCTGTTTTGGACATTTAGAGTATTACTATTTTTTTTTCTTTTGCCCATATAATCTTGTTAGATTATGGATTGTTAATTATAGCCTCAGGATAAGTTCCTGGAGAAGAACTGCTGGTTCAGATAGCCATTTCAGGATTTTTTTATACCAAATGCAAATAGGCTTTCTGAGTGGTCTCCAGTTCATAATCCCACCAGCAACGTTTGAGAAAGCTCTCTTGTCTGTGGTGCAAGAAAAGGCTAGCTATTAAGGTTTTAAATTTTGGTCTTTCTTTTAGGAAATCTTGCATTACCTATACATTTTACCTATGCAATAATACTATGATCCACTTTTCTGGGTCACTACAGTTTTGCCTTTTCTAGAATTTCATAGAAATGATATACTATAGTATGCAATCTTTGGTGTCTGCCTTGCTTTGAGAGTCATCTGAATATTCACAAATTTGTTAATCCCAATAGCGTAGCTCAGCCATCGGTGGACTTTAGATGGAGTCAAGTTATCAACTATTATGAATAATGCTAGTATGAAAATTTGTTACAAGTCTTTGGGTGGTCATTTTCTTTCCTTTCTCTTGGATAAATACAAGGAACGAAATTGCTGGGGCCTATGACAAATGCATTTAACTTTAGAAGAAGCTGATGGAACATTTTCCAAAGGGGTGGTGCTAACGTGCATTCCCAGGAGCCATGAGCAGGATGGTCCCAGTTGCTCCATATCCTCTCCAACACCTGCTGTTATTGGTCCCTTATAACTGGGCATTCTAATGAGTGCTTAGTAGTGTCTCACTATGGTTTTGATTTGGATTTTGTTAATATGAATAATTGAGCATCTTTTTATGTGCTTATTTGCCACTTGTATGCTTTCTTTGGTGAGGTATCCATTTAAATCCTTTGCCCATTCTCTTAACTTGATTCGTCTTCTTATCGAGTTCTATGAGTTCTTTCCTTTGTGTTTTCTTTTTTTTTTTTTTAAGATTTTATTTTATTTATTTATTCGACAGAGAGAGAGATCACAAGTAGGCAGAGAGGCAGGCAGAGAGAGAGAGAGAGGAGGGGAAGCAGGCTTCCTGCTGAGCAGAGAGCCCAATGCGGGGCTTGATCCCAGGACCCCGGGATCATGACCTGAGCCGAAGGCAGAGGCTTAACCCACTGAGCCACCCAGACGCCCCTCCTTTGTGTTTTCTGTATGTCAGTCTGTTATTAGATACATGCTTTGCAAGTGTTTCCGCCCCAGTCTCTGGCTTATCTTCCCATTTTCTTAACACTATTTTTGGAAGAGAAAAAATTTTTAATTTTGGTGAAGTTATATTTACCAATTTTTCTATTTATGAATTGTGATTCAATGAGATACTTAGAAAATATTTTTCTAACTCAGGATCGCAAAGATTCTTTTCTGCTATGTTTTCTTCTAGAAGTTTCATCATTTTAGCTCTTACATTTATGATTATTGCATATTTTAAGTTATTTTTGTATATACTATAAAACAAGATCAAAAGCTCCTCCTTAACACATGTGGATACGCAAGTCTTCAAGGCTGACGTCATGAAAAGTTTATTTCCTAGTGAATTGCCTTGGCATTTTTGTTGAAATCCGATGACCGCATTTGCGTGGGTCTCTTTCTGGATTCTCTGTAACGAGGCCTTTCTTCCCAGCTCTGCATAAGCTTCAGAAAGGCTTGTCACCTGTTTTTCAGTGGGTCTTTTGCTGGCCCCAAGTAGCTTCCTCTCACAGGTGCAGATCAGCACTCCACCAAAGATTCAAGGGACCCCTCTCTCCACGAGAACTGTACTACCAGTTCTAGCCACTTTCGCCTGCCCACTTTCTCACTTCCCTCTCTTTGGTCTCTTTATGGTTCCCCTCTTTCCTTGGAAACCACCTGGGGCAGTGGGCAGTCTCCGCTCATTTGTTTTTCTCTCAGGAATCACAGCCTATTATGCCTGATGTCTCGTGTCTAGAGACCTTTCCTTTGTATACCATTTTCTGTTCTATTGATTTCTTTTTATTTCACTCTATCTTATTTTACTTAAAGATTTTATTTATTTATTTGAGGAAGAGAGAGACCAGGGGGGAGGGGTGGAGGGAGAGGGAGCTGCAGATCCCCCACTGAACAGGGAGCCTTACACGGGATTCGATCTGAAGACCTGGGGATTACAACCTCAGCTGAAGGAGATGCTTAACCGAATGAGCCACCCAGGCCCCCTGTTCTAGAGAT